AATCACGGAGTTCCCTGAGAGTTTACACTGTAATGGCCACTCAGTGAGTCCAGCCGTGTGTCAGCCTAGCTCAGCATAGCAGGGGGCACGATAGCAGGGCAGCTCCAGCCCTGGCTCATGGGGGCCCTCTGGGGAGGAGGTAGGCCAGAGACACTACCGCCCTCCTGGGGTAAGTGCTCAGCTGGAGGTGGCCACAGGCCTTCTGGGGCATAGTGAAGGCACCTGGGCTTAGCTTAGGATTGTGGGGAGAGCTTCCTGGGAGCAGGTACCACCACCCACCATGGAATGGATGATGGGGACACAGAAACCAGGGGGGAGAGGACAGGACAGAGTGGGGAACTCACAGATGCCTCTCGGCAGTGGGCCCCAGAGTGCCCCTGCCCTGAGCAAAAGCAGCATCTTATGCATCAGCAACACCCAGCCTCATCCAGAGTGGTGGCCTCTTTTAACAACAAATGCTTTCCTGGCCCCTCTCCCCCACGTGATGGTAGTGGAGCTTTGGCATTGGCTGAGGAAGAACATGATGGCAGAAAGCTACGGAGAATGCAGAAAGCCTTTACTCGAAACCATTTATTAGTCATCGCACACCCACAACCCGGTGAAACAGTGGGCCCGTGTGGTGACGTGTGCCTGCGCGGCGAGCAGGCTGGGTCGTGCTCACAACGCCGTATCGCTTCCTGCACCAGCTGTTGAGTGGTCTAGCCTGGCTGCCACACTGTGTATGGTGAGAATTAAGTCAGGGCTGCTCCCCAGGAGCTCCGAGCCTCCCACACCCCAGCCCCAGGGCCTCTCGAAGTCTAAGGCATGTCAGACACGGTCTCCACCCTCCAGCAGGACCACCCAGGGCAGCCTCAAGGAGACACAAGTTTAGAGAAGGGCTGGGCAGGGGGAGCACTGGGCCAACACTGGTGGTCAGGGATTGCTTCCAGAGCAAGGGGCGCCAAAGACATTAGCCGAGGGAAGGGGTGAGGAAGAGGGTTCCCGAGAGGGACAGAGTGGAAGGAAAAGCATGGACGTAAGCGGGGGCAATGAGCAAGGGACACGGAGAGGAGGGTGGGGTGGGAGCTTGAGGGCCTTGGTGTGGGGTGAAGGGGTTTGGGTTTTTTCCTGAAGGTGGCGACGGGAATGGTGGAAAGGAGGTCTTTTGGGGAAGGGTGTCAAGGGGTGGGGGCTGCTGTGTGATCAGGTCGGCAGGTGAGATGGCTGTGGTGGAAAATGGGTGTGTGAGGCAGGGGACCCAAAAAGCAGTAGAGAAGTGGGCTGGACAGGGGGGACATGAGACCCCAGGAGAGCAGGACAGCTGGCCCTGGGGACTGGTGCCCTCTCAGAGGGCATGTGAATGCTCAGCCTGGACGGAGGTGGGGTGGCAGGTGATGGCAGCTAGAAAGCAGACCAGAAGTGCAGGTCCGGGTGGGGGTGGGGAGGATCCTGGGCTGCGGAGTCTGTGAGGCTGCCCGACAGGCACTTCCATGAGTGCCCCTTGCTGCTCAGAAGAGGCTGGGCTGGGGCCAGAGGCGGGTCCCCTCACTGTGTAGCCTGGGGCAGAGACAGCTGGGCAGACCCTCGAACAGGGCTTCAGAAGAGGGAGCCAGGAGCCTGGTGCCGAGGGACGCAGTGCCAATGGGCCTCTCCTGCCTGGCCCTTGTGTTGCATTTACTGAGGGAGGAGGGTGGGCTGGCCCCAGCGTCCCTGACACCCTGCTCCCCTCCCCAGAAGCCCCTGCAGCAGCTGTGGAACGCCATCCTGCTGGTGGCCATGCTCCTGTGCACAGGCCTCGTGGTCCAGGCCCAGCGGCAGGCATCACGGCAGAGCCAGAGGGAGCCCGGAGGCCAGGTGGGAGCCAGCCCGAGGGAGTCCCGGTGCCCCCAGCCCTCGGGCCTGCCGAACTGTGCCTGCCCTTCCCCCACAGGTGGACCTGCTCAATCGCCGTGTGTTGCAAAAACTGGCATCCCTCAAGACCCGGCGCTGCCGGTTGGGGAGGGCCACACAGTGTCCCCCGGAGCCTGGTGCCGATACCTGCGCCGTGTGTTTGGACTACTTTTGCAACAAGCAGGTTAGCGCCCTAGGCAGAGAGGCCAGTCATTGGTTTACCTGTGATGTTCCCCACCCGACTCCTGAGGCCTCGGGATCGCCCCAACCAGACCCTTCTCTTCTACCTTTGCTAGCGCGACAGGAAGCAGAACGGGGTGAGGGGGCAGACCACAGGGGTTTTAGTTCTCAAGCTCAAGTGAGGACACGGGGCCAGGCACCCCCACTTGAAGGTCTGCCACTGTGGCCTGAGCCCTTCCCGCCCCCCACAGTGGCTCCGGGTGCTGCCCTGTAAGCACGAGTTTCACCGGGACTGCGTGGACCCCTGGCTGATGCTCCAGCAGACCTGCCCACTGTGCAAATTCAACGTCCTGGGTGAGCATGGAAGGCGGGGGCCCTCGGCTGGCTCCACCTGGGCCCCACCTGACACCTCCCTCCCTATTGTTCTTCCTCCTCCCTGCAGGAAACAGCTACTCAGATGATTAGCTGCCCCAGCTGGGTCTCTGCACTGGAGATGGGACCCCTCCTGCCTGTGCTCGGGCTCTTGCCTGGGCTCTCGGGACAGGAGAGTGGGATGGACAAGACAGAAAACTGTGGGTGCGAGGAAGGACACGGGCTTCCCCTGCTGAGGAGCAAGGAACCCCACCACTTCCAGTCTGGGAAGGAGGTGCCACATCCCCCAGGCCGAGGATGCAAGGCCCAGTCCTGCTGGGAAGTGAGGGAGAGAGGCCCTTTGAGGTTCTCTTGTACAACCCTGAGGTGTGTGTCTGCCTTCCGTGAAGGCAGCCCCCAAGACCCTGGGCAGGGGCCTGGGGAATGCGGGTGTGAGCAGCACGGCTGCTCCCAGGGCTCTGAACACTCCTGCCTGCCTGTTCGGACTCCCTGGGGGCTGAGGCTGCGGTGACCAGTTTTGTGCTTATTTATTGGGGGAAAGGGTGGGGAAGGGACTGTCTGGCCTCAGGAGCACCCTGGCCTGACCATCTTTCAGGACACATGTTGGTCAAGGCTGGGATGTTAAACCCAGAAGCCTGCTACCCTCGGTCCTCGGACACTAGGATCCATGTGTCCTACTGCCTGTCCAGCTGGGATCCCTTCCTGGCCTGGCTGAGACCAGAGGCCTTAGAAACCATCCAGTCCTGTGCTTCTCAGTGGGGCTGTGGGTTGCTGACCAGGAAACTTGAAGCTACAGGATAAATGTGGTACATCTTCCAAAGGCACATACTTTTTTTTTTTTAAGAAGTTTTGGGGTAGGGGAGGTTTAATATTAAAATAAACATGGATATATTTTAACATAAGAAGTAAAATTTGTGTGAATGTTTCAAGATAAAAACAAAGCACCTTGGGCTCTACTAACTACAAGAAACGTTATAAGACAGCCCCCAAGATTCTCCCAACCCCCATGAACAGGCCTTGTACAGCCCTGGAACTATGACTTGAACGGATTTGACTGCTGTGATTAGGTTGTGTTATATGGCACCGTGGACCTTGAGGGGGAAAGTATCCAAGTGGGCCTAACCTGACCACATGAGAAATCCTTTGTTGCTGACCTGAAGGTGGAGGGGGCCACGTGGCAGCGAAGGCAGACAGCTTCTAGGGGCTGAGCAGCCCTAGCTGACAGTAGCTAGCAAGGAAATGGACCTCAGGCCTCCAGCTGCAAGATCCGAATTCTGCCAAGGACCAGAATGAGCCTGGATGCTTCCCCAGAGCTGTCAGAGTGGAATGCAACCTGGCAGACCCTGAGCAAAGAATCCAGCCTTGCAGGGCCTGGACTTCTGAACCACAGAACTGCGAGCCAGGAAATGGATGCAGAAGGGACCTGAGCTGTGAGGGGCCCTTCCCCTGCGCTCAGACCCAGGCCTCCTGCCTCAGGAGCCCCCAGCCTCAGGGCTGGCCCTCACCTGTGAGGGGAGGGCCAGGGCATCTCAGCCTCTTTCAGGGACCCCCAGACTCCATAGAAGCAAGAGGTGGACAGACCCTGGCCATGCCAGTTTAGCTGCACACAGGGCCCCTCTTGAACATTCTCTGTAAACTAAGGTGCTTTACCTGCTGGCATTGGCAGGGGGAACATGTCATAGGAAGCTGGGAGCATCCACCCTGAGAGTCCTCAGCAAGGTCTTAGGGCCTGCCCCTCACAGACGAGGTGACCCAGGGAAGACTGGAGGCTTCCTGAGGAAAACTGGACTGTGATGGGCCTGGGGTGGCTGGTGGCATCCAGGTCCCAGGGGTCAGGCCCAGGGAAGCCGGGGCTGGCTGGGCATCCCGCTCTCTGGCAGGGTGAGGCCCTGCCCTGCTTTCCGACGCATCCTGGGGATGCAGCCTCCTGGATCTGGAGAAACCCTCTGTGACTTACATTTCCTGAAGGGGAGGAGTTCCTTAGAGAAAGGAGGGCTGATTTTCTTAGGTCCTTAACGCCCCCACCCCCAAGTTCAGACCTGGGGCATGGGGAGGTGTTGTTGCCCTGTGCCAAGGGCCCAGAGCATGGACCCCAGTGTCAGACTCCTTCCTGGCCTTGGATGTCACCATTGGGTCCACCTCACACTGCCCTCCTTCCCCTGCATACCCACTACGCTGACCCTGCTCTTTGTTGGTGGGGATGTCACTAAGTCTGTGCTACCCTTCAGCCCTTGTTATGGGGATCAAAAAACTGCCTTCCACCTGACCCAGGTGCTAGAAGTTTCTTTCTTCCCTCTTCACCCACTGCCCATCAGGAAGGAACTCCCATTCACTGAGGATCCAGGGTGTGCTAGGCCTCTGCTGCTGGATAGCACACCCTAGCACAGGGTGTGCTAGGCCCGCTGGTCCTGCAGGATGGCTGGGGACTCAGGAGTCCCTACCCAGGACGGGGAAAGACGGGCTCTGCTCCTGGCCCAGGCAGTGCTGTGAGGTCAGGGTTGCTGTGAGTACATGGCCAGGGCTTTATTACATTGGGTGGGTCGCCAGTCACCAGCCCTCCCGCCCCTCCCCACTGCAGGCTACATGGGCCGCTCTTGGGGCTGGTGTGCAGGGCCAGCCTGACCTCGGGTTGGTGACAGTCTCCTCCTCAGCCTGGCCAAGACCCGGATGGGGTTCTGGGCACAGGTGGTTGAGTGGATCACATCCTCCACAGAGGATCTGCTGGGCCGGCCAGAGGGCTGCTGAGGTGGAGATGCCCGGGGCTGTCTTGGCAGGGTGCCGCCTGCACTGGCAGACCTGCTGGCAGGTGGGTGCTGCCTGCCCAGCGGCCTGAGGGAGGACAAGATAGCGAGAGCCCCTGTGAGCCAGAGGGACAGGCCCAGCCCCTGTCTGCCCTGCCTCTGGCAAAGCCTTACTTACCCTGGGGAAACTCTCCGGGCCTGGACTGGAGGTGCTGCCCCCTGGATTCCCAAGCTGGGACCGGCACAGAGCTGGTCCTGCGGGATCAGCTGCAAGGAAAGCCAAGCTCAGAAAAGCTCAGGAGTCCCCTCCCCACAGTTTAGCCAGGGTAGCATAGCCAGAGAGGGCGAGGGAAGGCCCAAACCTGTACCCAGGGCCCCTTCCTCTGAGGGGCGGGGTTTGGGAAGCCTTCCAGGGTCACTTCAGCTGCACTGAGTATGGGAAGGTTTGCTTTCTAATAAGGCTCCTGGTTGCACTTGGAATAAACGTACAGAGAGCTGGGGACAGCGAGGGGGAGGGCGCAGTGTGGATTTAGAGCCAGAAGGCACGGAAACATCCTCTTATCTTCTTGAAATGTGCAAGATGCTTCACAACAGTGTCGCCTAGAGCCACGTGCGACGAGGTGGGCTCTCAACAGGTCCCCAGGGTGGTGTCTGAAGACCTCAGCTGGGTCAGGGCCTTCCCCAAGTCCCCAGGGGCTGGCCCTCTGAGGCGAGGACCCAGGATGCCCACCTTGAGGCCCCCCTGCTGGGCTACTTCCCGAATTTTGGACAGCATCAACTGGAGCCGCCCGTTCTCCTCCTGCAGGACCCGGATGCGGATGTTGTTGGCCTGCACCTGTCTCTCCATGTCATCCGTGACGTTGCCGGAGCCTGTAGGGACAGGCCGTCTGGCACCTCGCCCCACCAGGTGGGGCTGCTTATGACCAATAGGACAGGACCTTAGAGGGCAGGCATGGGTTGGTGGCCCAGCAGGCACAGAGGAGCTGGACAGGGCCCATGTACTGGGCCTCCCATCTTCCTTCTGAGGACTTGTCCTCGCTCCCCATCCCCCTACCGGCTGAAAGGTGATCACAGCATTATAGAATTTGAGAGCTGGGTGGAACTCAGGGCTCTTTGAAGACTTAGCAAATAGACAAGGACTGTCTGTGGAGGGCCAAAGAGACCATGAATTGTCCAAAGTCACACAGCTGCTCTTGGGTACGAGTGGGGAATTCAGCAAGGATGTTCTTTCCCACCACTTGGGGGATGGATGCTTCCTTCGGGCTCACGTAACCTGGCCAAGCCTCTGCCCTCTCCGGTCCTGGGTTTGTAAAAAGAGGCTGCTGCCTGCCTGGCAGGGCAGTTGGGAGGGCAACAGAAGGGCCTGGCACACAGTCAGCTCTCAGGAGTGATGGCTTATCGTGACTAGTCAAATTGCAGTGGATCTTCCTGACGGTCCTGTGAATGGATTTACCCCTAGAGCTTCAGAGGGCTGGTGGGGCAGGGATGAGAACCCGGGTGGCCTGGCATCCAGTCCTCTGTCGAGATGGGTCCATAGCACTCCTGTGCCAGGGGGTCCAGGACACGGGACAGTTGGGGCTGTGCCCCTGGAGCAGGCTGCATGGTGTGGTTTGAGGCCACAGGAAAATTGAGTGAGGACTGGCATGTGACATGGTAATGAGCACTGGCTACAGAGGCAGCCGGACCTGTGTCTGGATTCAGCTGTGTGACCACGGGCAGTTACCTCACCTCTGGGCCTCCATGTCCCCCGTCTACACAGAGTGTAACACATGAAGCTATTACATGTTGTGGGGGGCTCTGTAGGGACCATGCTGCTGGCCACCCCAGCTCTATCACCCTTGCTAAGGGGTTGCAAACCCTAGTATTCTGCCCCCCAGGGTCCCAATGTGCCCTCTGCACCATCCTGGGGCCCCTACTTTGGATCTGGGCCTCGACAGGCCTGTGCAGGTCTGGGAAGGCCACCAGCAGCCGCTCCTGCTCCCTCAGTTCCACAAGCTCCCGTTCCAGCTCCGAGACAGTCAGTTGCAGATCTGTCACCACCTGCTCCAGGCCTTGCTTCTCCCCCTGCAGGCTCTGCAGCAGCTCCTGAGACAGAGGGAGGCTCAGATCTGGCCTGCTGAATACCTCCTGGCTCCCTCAGGGAGACCCCACCCCTTCTACTCCCCGGCTGACTGGAGGCTCCACTCCCACCTGCTGGGCCTGGAGCTGGCACTGCCCCTGCTCCTTCTCGCTCTGCACGCTCTGCAGCTGCTCCTCAATGTGGGCCCGCTGGGCCTCAGCCTCGTCCAGACTGCCCCGAAGCTCCTCACGTTCCTGGTCCAGGCTGTCCAGCTGCTGCAGCAGGGCTTGCTGTTTGGCCTGCAGGGACTAAGCCGAGATGGGCAGGCAGGGAAGCCATGAGGCCCATGGGGCGAGGCCCATGGGGCTAGGCCCAGCCACATGGGACTAAGGAGGGTATAGCATCTGTGCCCCCCACCAAGTCCTCCCCTTTGAGCCACATCGGTCTGTGTGGGGGAGGCTGTGCACACGTGTGGAAGGCAGAGGGAAGAGGGCAAGGGGCAATCCACACCCCAGCCCGGTCAGAGCTGGAACCCCCAGTTTGCAGACCCTGCCCCCTTGGAAAACAGGTGGCTGACTATCAACCTCACCCCCATTTCTTTTTGGTCACAGTCTCCACTCAGAGAGGAATTTTAAGAAATATTTTTCTTCTTCTCTTTAGGTCTTCAGCCTATGTCACCTGGAAGCCACATTCCCTCAAACCCACTGAGTGCAAAGCAAAAAGAACCAGCCCCATTCATCTCTGAGCCCTGGGTGCAGCTCCGGCTAACTGTGCTGCCTGGGGCGGTTTCCTTAATCTCACTCCACCTGTTTGCTCATCTATTAGATGAGGATGACAAGTCTGTGCCGCCTCCTGCTGTGGTGAAGAGGAAGAACGGGAGGGATGCAGAGGCTGAGCCCAGTGCCCAGCTCACAGAAGCCACCTGATGCGCGGTGACCATGGTTGTTTTTGCAGGGCACTGAGGAAAGCACTCACTTGGTGATGAAAGGCTTTCCTATCCTGAGTGATGCCTGACCCTGGGGACTTTTACCTGGGGTTGTGGCTCCCAGCCCAGCCTAGAGAGCGGATGAGCCCAGCCTAGAGAGCCCCCAGACCTGCCCCTTCTCTAGGTGAAAGGTGTGGCCAGTCAGTCACTCCCATAGCCAACCCAGTGGGGACTCCTGCAAGACTCCATTGCCTGGGGCACAGCTCTATCCCTGCCAGCTCACCCTCTGTACTCCCTATTCTTCCCACTGATAAACTAATCACCAGCAATTGATGTACAGTTCAAAGGCCACCTCCTCCCAGAAGCCATCCTGGATTCCCATGGGCAGCTATGACTATCCCTCCCTGGATCCCTGCAGCACTTTTCCTGCCCCTCTTAGCCACCTGGCAGAAGAATGTGGTGGCACAACTGCTTGCCGCTGCTGAGTGGGGAGCTCTTCCAGAGCAAGGTCTCAGTTGGCTGGATCTGTCCCTGGATCACCATTCCTCCACTGCCTGGCTGAGGGAGGGCTCGGACCCTCCATAAAGGTGAGTCAAACCCAAACCTGGGTATGTGTTGGAGAGCAGGTGCCTCCCTCCCTGAAGCCTATGTTGCAGGCACCCAGGGTGCTAGCAAGGCCCCCAGCCTCACCTCCTGGTGGCGGACCATGCTGTCAACGCGGGCCTTTTCTTTGTCCAGCTCTGTGCTGGCCCAGCGGATCTGCTGGCTGGCCCCATCCAGCCGCCCTGCCAGCAGCTGCACCTGTTCCTCCAGCTGCTGAACCTGCCTCTCAGCCTCCACCTTACGCTTGGCCTCCTCCTGCAGCTGCTGGGTCTTTGTCTCTGCAGGATTGAGTGGGCGTGGGAAGGGATAGGGCAGGGAACCCTGGGTGCGAGTCACTGCACTGCCTCTGACCCAGGATGGGGCCAGGGGTGTGTGTGTGTGTGTCTCAGCACATCTCTGGGCCTCAGTGTCATTGGCCACAGAATGGTGCTCTGAACCCCACCTAAGATGGTTTCTGAAAATAGAAGGTGGCACCCCAATTCGAGTCATTACCCAATAGTGTGGCTGTCAGGCCCACCCTCCTTTGGTGGTGGCCTTTATCTTTGCCCCAGAAGCCCAGGGGACAGGGTAGAGGGTGCTCGTCCTGCAGGACCACTGAGCACAGGACTCGTGGTTCGGGGCTGTATGACGGGGCTCCTCACCCATGGCTTGCATGGACTCCTGGTGCTGCTTCAGCTCCCCCTCCAGGGCGGCCACCTTCCTCTTGAGGTCACTCGTTTCTGTGCAGCCAAGAGAGAGTCCCTTCAGAGTTTCCTTTGAGCCTGGCCAGTGGCCTTCATGCTCAGTGTACCCTACAGAGTGGTGGCAGCCATTGCCATGTGGAGGGGCCACCTGGCTTTAAGGGTGGGCTTTGGGGAGGTGCCAGGAAGCCTGGACCCCCTTCCCCCTGCTTCCAATTGGCTGGCCGCTACGTCCCCATCCCTCTTTGGGTTGCAGTGTCCTCCGCAAAGGCAACAGTGAGGCTCCAAACAGCAGCGACTTGCCCAAATCCCTCCAGAGCCTCATGGTCATGGGCAATGGCTGCCTTCCAGTGCCAGTGGCTGCATCTCTTTGCCTAACCACTTTTGCCAAAGCCAAAGAGGTCACTCTGCTGGCTGGAGGTGCCAGGGAGAGAACTCCGCTGGGAATCACCTTCAGTGACCAACAGGAGTGAGTGGATGAATGCCCCAGCTGCCCCGCCCCTCCATAGGGGTAACTCTGAGGCACGCGTTCTACACCTGCTCCAGTGTTTCCAGTGGGATTAAGCTCCAGTGCCTGTGGTGTAACTGGCTCGATGAGTGCGCCTCCTCTCTCTCCCCCCGTCTCTCTCTCTCCTGCCTTCCCTTCCCTGCACCTCTGGCCCACTCCCTGGCAGGGTTTCTTCCACACCAACTCCTTGTACAGCAAGCAGCCCTGTCGCAGGATCTGCTACGGGCAGAGCCCACACAAAGGCTATAGCAGAGCCCCAGGCACTAAGGGTCCAGCCTCTGAGGCACAGACCTGTGAGCAGTTGCTGCTTGTCACGCTCCCACTTGGCCAGGCGCTGCTGGGCTTCATCTGCCTGCCGCCGCCGCTCCCCCTGCTCCTGCCGCAGTGCCTGCTCCAGCTCACCCACCTGCTTCCTCAGTCCATCCTTCTGCCCCTCAGCCTCTTCCAGCTGGGCCCGGAGGGCGCCGACCAGCTGAGTGAGGGCCCCCATGTGCTTACTGAGGCGGGTCAGGTCTTTGCTCTGTTCTGCCGCCCAGTGGCCCACAGTGGCAGCGGGCAGCGGCCTGATCCCCATGGTGTCCTGCACCAGCTGCTGGATCTGTCCTAGGGATGAGGACAAGTTTTGGCTCCGACACAGGCTGATGACCACCTTGCCCACCTCCCACAGGCTGCCCTGGACACGGACGCACGCATCACAGGGCACCAGGGCAGTCTCCACAGTCTGGGACTGGACACTCTTGGTGCTCTCAGTGGCCCTGACTGGAGACTGCAGGGAGACTCTGACGGAGAGGCTGCCCGGTTCTTGGCAGGTCGGGGGCAAGCCTGGAATTGGAGAGGGAGGCTTGATGAACTTGGCAGTCACAATCTCAGGGCTCCTGGCTGGCTCGCCCTTGGCTGTGGGCTTGGAGGTGGGAATCTCCCTTTGGGTTGCCTTTTTCTGTGTTCAGGAAAAGAAAGGGAGAGCAGGTGAGGGAGAAAGGCTTGGGAGGTGACCACTTCCCTGGGGATTTCTGTGATGGCCTCTCCTGATGCTCAGACCCTCAGATGTTATCTAACACCAATGTGAACGAAAGAGAACCTTTTCCTTTCTTTCCACTGTCTCAAGTTACTAAGCCCAGACCTCCTCTGTGCTGCCCACCACCCCCTCCCCCGGGCTCAATGCAGTTACATGCAGGGTACTGAGAGAGTAGCAGTCAGAAACAGCTTCTGGTTACTGGGCTCTCTCTTGGCAGATGAGACTACTCACTGCAGCGACTCTCAGTTTTAGTTTCCTCCCCATCATGGTGAGGGTGGCCCTTCCCACTGGCTGGTTGTGAGAATTACGGGATAACCCTCAAGGAATGGCGCTCATATTAACACTATTACCCAGCAATGCACCAAGAGGCAGAGATTGTCATTACTCCCATCATGCAGGTGAACAAACTGAGGTTCCGAGGAGGCAGGACTTTTCCAAAGCCCCATAGTGTAAACGGCAGAGCCCAGGAGCCCAAGCATGTCCCCTGTGGCCTGTGCTGAGACAGAAGGCCTTGACCGGGAGGCTCCAGAGTTGACCCTCTCCTTCAGGCAGCGTGGAGCTGGCAATAGGTATGGTGCTCCTATGGTGTCCTAGGAGGCTGGGGCATGGTGGACTGGTGTGAGGGTGACCACAGTTGGGGAGTGGGGGGTAGCTGACTCACCTGGGGGGGCATCTGCTGGTAGAGCATGCCCAGCTTCAGCAGACTGTTCCAGAAGCGCTGCACCGTGAGTCCCACAGACATGCAGGGCCCCACATCCCGGGCAGGGGGCACTGTCTGCTCCAAAGTGAGGTTCTCCAGGTAGTTCGCACAGCTCTGAAGCAGCAGCAAGAGCCTGTGGGCAGAGATAGCAAGGTCAGCGAGGGCAGAGCCCAGTGCCACTGTGCCCTCATGCCATACAATCGGGAGCCTCTGGCTCTGGGGAACTGGCCCAGGTGCCATGGACTTGGAGCTCTGCCATTCCATGCTCAAACCCAACCCAAGAGCCACTTCTTCTGAGAAGCCCTCCCTGAGGGGTGAGCCTGGGGGCCTCTTTTGGGCCTCCTGGGTGGCAGCACCTCTGCCTGGCAGTTTCCCGCTATGGCAGGCAGTTTCTTGCCTGGCAGTTTGTCACTCTGGGAAGATGCTCTGGGAGGCTGGGCCTTTGCCTCAGTTGTATCCTGCGTGCTCACAAAGCGCTGGGTGGGGGCTGCCTTACATCACATGGCTCAGAGCCTTTGCCTTAGAGGACAGAGCTGAGACCCCGAAGGGGAGGAGGGTGTGCACAGCCTCAGGGTGAGCATGCAGAGCGGGGGGTGCCTTGCAATTTCCCAATTCCAGTCAGGGGTTTCTGAAGGGCAAGCTGCTTCTGTGACAATGGAGTGAAGGGAGTTGGTCTCTATCTTAACCTCGAAGTTCAAAATTAGAGTCGGGCTTATTTTAAGGAAACGGGCTACTGGAAGGATGTTTGCATTTGCATGGGAACCAAGCTGTTTTAAAGGAAGAGGTATTATGTTCACAAAACATACCAGGCAGGTAAGTGCCCTTCTCTTGTTGCAGGTACAGGGGACTCATCCCAAACCCACTGGGCCTTGGGCGGAGAGGGCCCAGGGGAGGGTGTGCCATCTACCCCTAGGCCCTGCCTCCCTCTGGCCCAAGGTGTCCTACTATGAATGAGGACAACTGTGCCTGCTCACAGGTGAGTGCAATGGGGGACAGGCAAGCACTTGGAAGGAGGATATAGCATGTCCCTGATAGCGATCTGTCTATTCAGATAGGGAGACCCACTCAGTGGGAGACTGCTGAGCTACCTACGTTACCTTCATCCTCAGCCACAATCCCACCCGTGACATGAAGTGAGCACCTGCAAAAGCTATACCCTGAGCTGGTGACCATGGCCCTGTCCTCCAGGATCCCCAGGCTGGTCTAGGTCTCAGACCCAGTGGTCTCTTCCAGAAGTTATGTACACACATAGAAGCCCAGGGGAGGCTCTGGCTGACAGCCAGAGGTAGACAGAGGGATGAGGCAAGGGGTGCGAAGACAGGTCAGCTTCACAGAAAGGGAATCCATAGAGTGGACCTTGATGGATGAGTGGAGCTGGGCCCGACCAGTAACAGGAGGGCAGGGCATTCCTAAAAGAAGGCACAGCGCATGCAAAGCCAAGGAGGAAGGGAGGTGTGTTCTGTGTTCATGTGTTCAGCCCCTCACAGGCTCCAAACTGTGCTTTTACACCAAGGGCTCCTCCAGGCCTCTGAGTGGTCACCCTGGCTTCTTTGTCATTGGGCGGGTCACCCCATGCTGCTGGGGTCCCTGCTTGTCAGGCCCCCATGACTTCATTAGTGTGAAAGGTTTTGGAGCATGAGGAACCTGGGTTGGGGTCCCCAGGAGGTGGAAGGCTAACGACCATGTTAATGTTAATAATAGCATGGAAGTTAAAATCTACTGGCCTCTTCCAAGCAGGGCCAGGATTTAGAAAAACATACCCCATGTCTGGTCACATGACATAGAATACAAATGGGAACAGCACATCCCACAAGACACTGGGACAGAAACTCTGAATAGCAACTGTGGTGTCCCCGACACACAGAAACCCTGAGGAGGCAGCTGGCCACAGCCAGAGAGCAGAGGTCAGAGCTGGGGTGCCACAGAGACCAAAAGTGTAGCCAGCATCTCCCTGAGGGTGGACAATAAAGGATAGCATAGCATGGCACATGCTGTGGATGAGATCACTGTGAGGGCCCTGAGCTGACCTGGCCCCCAGGGGTACTCAGTCAAAGGTGATTGTTGCTGCCAATGTCCTCACCACCACTGGAGGGGATTCCGTGGCTGCTACTGGTTTAAGGGGTGGATATCATAATCCCAAGAACACCAGGCTGGTCAATGCCCTCACCTGTCAATGACGAGCTCCAACAGCACAGCGTGAGACAGCTGTGTGAACTCAGGGTCACCCGGCACATGGTCATAGTGCTCTAGCAGGGCCACCATGTCCAGGTCACAGGCCACACGGTCAGGAAACTTCCAGGAGGGAAAGCGCACGGGTCCAGCGCGGGAAAAGACATCTACAATGGCCCCCTGCAGGTCAGTGAGGTCCTTGCGCAGGCTGTCCATGCAGGCCTGGCTGCCCAGCAGGTGAGCCATCCTCACGGCTCCTGGGGTGGGCAGAGAGGAGCCCCATTAGCCATGTGGCCACTGCAAGAGGAACCTCCCTAAGACCTCTGTCTGCCCAGATTCTCCTACGCCCAAGTCTGTCTTACACCCTGGAAAGAAGTCTGTTTACCCACCCAGGTCACCAGGTCCCTTGGAAGCTGGCTGTGGGTGACCTCGTCAGCCTTCCTCTCACCCGCCCTAGCCTGCACCTATACCGCCAATTCCATCGTTCCACAAGTACAACACCTGGCGTATACCTGTGTACGCCAGGCCCCTGCTAAATGCTGGGCAGACACTGCTATGAAGGAGGATGTACTTACAGTCCCTCCCCTCAGCATGAACCACCGAACAGGCAACTGACAACTAAAGGCAGTCATAGTAACAGCCTGATGGGGAGGGCTGGGCCACACCAGGCCGCTGTCATTTCCACAGGCTGGCTGCTCTAATCTGATCCACTTCAGCCCCAGAGATCTGGGCCAAGCCCTGTCTGATCACTTCACACTGGACCACAAACACTGAGGACTCCCTGCAGCCCTTGGGAGAAAGGCCCCCTCCAGCTATGTTCTTCGCCCTACCTCTCTAGTCGCCCCCTCTCTACCGGTATCCTCCACTCCAGCCCCCATCAGCTACGGGGCTGCTAAAGCACAGGTACTCGTTTCTGCATCTACTCCCGTCTGTCCCCTCCATGTGAATTATGTTTCCCCCACCCAAAACCCATCACCCGGCTACCTCCTCTCATCCTTCAGGGTTCCCAGATATCACCTTCTACAGGAAGCCTTCCCTGAGCACCCTCCAGGCGGGGCTAGATAACTCATCTAGGCTTCTCCATGTCAGCCCTGATCCCTTTGCAAGGATGGCCTCCCCTCTCTAGGCCAGGTCCCTAGTCCACCTGAGTCACTAAAGTATGTCCGAGGTGGCCAGCCTGGGGGGCTGGCCCATTGTTGATGCTCACTGATAAGTGAATGACTAAGTAACTGAATGGAAAAAAGAAAAATAATCCCCCCCAAACTTTTAAAATACGTTGATTTGGGGAGGAAAACAGGTCATAATGTGTAAGAGAGGAAAATCTGAAAATGTGTGTGATGCCTACCGTAACCACTCTGGTGACGGGAGACCTGTCACATGCTGACACGCAGAGTCCCAGCTCTGCCCCTTCCTAGCTGAGCGGTCTCAGGCAAGTCACTTCACCCCTGAGCCTCAGCTGCCTCAGTTGTAAGATGGGGACGCCATCCCCTCCCCAACCAGGCCAGGTGGTTGTGAGGCCTGCAAAGGTGTCTATAATTAAGGAGCTTGGTTCAGTGTAAGACACCAATAAAAGTTCTCCAGCAATGGTAACTATTACTATTGTGATTTGATTATCATCAGTGACAACAGCAAAGACCACCTTTGTTGGAGCTGCCATCTGCCTTCTGCATTTCCCCTTTGCCCCTGCGGCCCACACAGAATGCTTCTTGTCCATCTTCAGAGTCCGTGGACATCTGAGGACAGTGATTTGGATGAACTTTGGAGTCTGTGGACATCTGAAGACAGTGATTTGGAGGACAGTAGATGAGCCCTTGACGCAGAAGGTAAAGAAGCACCGCTGTGCCGGCCCCTCCTGCGGCTCATCGCACGCTCCATCGCACTCTGTTCAGAGCTGGGCGGCCCTGTGGATGCGGAGCCCTGGTCCTTCCCCACCCTGTAGCAGGGGCCCCCTTGTCCCCTGTGGATTTCTCAGCAGCAGAAAGTGCTTCCATGTACCACAGCCACTCCCTGCAATGTAGGTGCTGCTTCAGCAGTAGTTAAGCCGTGGCCTCTCTGGCCCCCAGCAAGTCCAGGCCTAGCTGGGAAACCTCTCTTCCTCCTACCTATCTTCACCTCTCATCTCAGGAAATGGCACCCTCACTTAGCTCACCTGGGCACTTCCTCGAATCCCTTTCCTTTAACATCCAAGCACACAGTGCTGCCAATCCTATGTCCAGATCACACTGTGAATCCACCACTTCTATCCATAAACTGCTCCACCCTCCATCTCCTCCTTTCCTCTGCTCACCACCACCTTGCTCATTGGGTATATGGCAGCCAGAGTGATAATTCTAAAAGGCAACTCATGTCCTGGCCGGGTAGCTCAGTTGGTTAGAGTGTCACCCCCATACACTAAGGTTGTGGGTTCAGTCCCAGGGCAGGGCACATACAGGAGTCAACCAAGGAATGCATGAATGGGTGGAGCAACAGGTCGCTGTTTCTCTCTCTTTCCCTTTCTCTCTCTCAAATTAATACATTTTAAAAAATAAATAAAAAGGTAACTTACCCCCTCACCCCTTCCTACTCTCTACCCTCCCTGCTCCATCCCTCTTAGGCCCCTTTCTTGAAAGACTTTCTACAGCACAAAGGTGAGAACACTGCCCTGAGTTCCAGGTTCCAGCCCTGAGGGATCTGCCCCCACCTCAGCCTCTCACCACTCGGAATGTGTCCCCTCCCCCACTTCATGTAGCTAAGATAAGACACCTCCCTCAGGTCTCCAGGCCAGGTGAGCTCCCGTTGCTACACATTCTCAGAGCATCCTGTTCTTTTCCATCTCAGCAGACACTGCACTGGCGCTGAATCATTATTTGAGTAATTATTTGTGGGTGGCAGTCTCTCTACCTGTGAGCATATGGACTGTCTTTTCAGTTCACTGGGATGTGAGCTGGTAGCTGCCTGGGCCGAGATGCCTGAGGGGCCAGCCTGCGTCCAAGGGTGCTAGGAAGCTCAGAGGCACCAAGGGGTAGTTTCGGAGGGCTGAGCCTCCAGTCTCACAGAGGATTATGCCCTATTCTCACCTCCGTGCGGGTGCCTGCCTGTGAAGCTGGACGTCAGCACAGGTGCCTGCCTGAGTCTCAGACTAGCCTGTAGGCTCGGGGGCTCAGGGTCAGAGGCTCATCCAGGTGCCTGACTTCCTGTCTCCAGTGCAGGGCTGGCCCCAAGCAGCTCTTCAGTACCTGGGAATGAATGAATGAAGAGTGCATGAGTGAGCACTCAGGGAGGGCTTCCTTGGGGGGGGGGGGGGGCATGGAAGAGGCTATCCCAGAAGAAGGGGAGGGTGTTCTAGTCTGGAGGAATAAAGTGAGGGGAAGGGCAGGTGGGGTCACCTGCCTCAAGCACGAGCACAGCAAGCTTTAACAGTGCTGGCTCTGACCACAGGATCCACTGCGTGCCACTTTCCAAATCTGCTTCCTTACACAGATAAGAAAACCAGGGCTCTGAAGAGTTAGGGGTTAGCCCAAGGTCAGTCAGGGAGCTGGGATGCTTGAGTCCAACATCTCTGTTCTGTCCTCAGGCTGAGCTGGTTCTAGAGCAGCTCTGTGCGAAAGAAATATAATGCAAGCCATATGGGACTTTCAATTTTCTACTAGCCATATTAAAAGGGTAAAAAGAAGCAAGTACATTAATTTTAATAATACATTTAATCCAATATGCCCAAAATATTATCACTCAAACATGAAATTAACATAAAATTATTAAGTTTTTTACAGTCCTTTTATTTTTCACATTAAGTCTCAAAATCTAGCATCCATTTGACACTTACAGTGCATCTCAATGTGGACCAGACACTGTTTGCAAATGCACCATCACACTGGCTGGTGGCTACCATACTGGTGCAGGAATAGAGGGTCAGATCCTGTGTGTTTATGCAGCAAACGGTGCCTGAGTATCTACTGTATGCTGGGCATGGTGTCAAGAGGAGAACAGAGTGGGGCACAGGGAGCCCTGTCTGCCAAGAGCCACCATCTACATCTGACAGTCTCTTCAGGGGGCAAGTCTTGGGCGTGTCAGCTTTGTCAGTCCCACCCACAGGGCAAAGAGTTTCCTCCCCACAACATACACACACACACACAGGGCCACACGCCATGAGCGAGCACACACACACACGTTGCCTCAGTGACTGCCTCTCATGAGCTATGGTCACCCATGAGATTTTATGTCCCCAAAGAATGAGGCAGACGCAAACAAAAAAAGACCGAAATATCCCTGATTTCCTTCCTGGAAAGGGAGAATGGAAATAAAGCAAGCAAGAAACCTCATCCTGGGAGGAGGCCCTGGAATTAAGGAGGTTGCTGGTGAAGACACCAAGAAACATTGACCAGGTCACCTTCAACTACAGCTGTCACCTGGGGCCATCGGAGATACCAACTGCTGTTAGAGGCCGGTTCAGATAGGCAGCAGAAATGCCACAGAAGCAAGAATATTCAAGAAGAAAACACAGAATTGAAAACAGCCAAGTCTCCTGTGTCCATTCTTCTGAACATTAGAGATTTGCAGACACCAGCAGGGTGTGAGTACCACTTAGGCATGTGTCAAGTGAAGGAGCATTTGATGCACAAGCTTTCTAATTCCAGGGTCTTGAGTGGAGCCCTCGGCCTGAAGCTGCCAGCCCTGCACGGCCTCAGAGATCACACAGGTGATGGCACTAACCCAGCCAGCGCTGCCCTGAGGTAGGAGGGGCAGCTAACTGCCTCTCCTCAGTTCCCCTGAGCTCAAGGTGGACTTCTGACTCACAGAGAAGACAGGGAAACTTTCCTCCACTCCCGCTCAACATTCAAGCTCCTTCCCTCTCTGAGTCCTAGACCTACCCCTCTGGAAAAGATCATGCCTACCTCCTAACCTGGCACCCACTGAGATTCAAGGTCACCACCATAAAAATACATTTTCCAAACTCTAAAACCATGTATATGGCCGTTGTTAGTAGAATTGCCAGATCCCTGGGGTCACTGAAGAAAGTGAGTGAAAACAAAGAAATACGTAAATTCACAAGCAGAGGAATAAGAACTGCCTGGGTTGGGGTTCCCACTCCACCAACTCTGAACTTCTCTATCCTCATCTGTAAACAAGTTGCTGTAGGAAATAAATGATGGAATGCCTGTGGTGTTTGGCAGTGTCTGGCTCATGGCAGTGTTCAAGAAATCCTAGCTATCATTATTATTCTACATTAATAACAACCATGACATAAACTAGTTATGGGGTGTGTGAGAGAGCTGGCGAGTAGACTTGGGAGGGCATCTCTTGCTATCATGCCATTTCACAGGTGAAGAACTGAAGGCCAGGAAAAGGCTCAGAGCCCCCCTGCATTCAGGAGCTGGAAAGGAGGGGAGAAAGGACAGGGAGCGGATCTCAGTGGAAGTGTAAAGAGCGGGTTTCCTCGGGGAAGCAAGATAGTGGCGCCTGCAGGCTGGTCCCTGTGGAAGTCAGGGGTGGAGTCTAAAGAAACAGCCCTATTTGAGATAGTCCGTGGGCACCGAAGGCGGGGCTATGGAAGGCAGGGGGTGGGACCTAGAAGGCAGGGGGGTGGGCACAAAGGAAAAGGGTCCAGTGGTAATCAGAGCTTGGGGCTAGGGAAGAGGGTTCGGAGGAGGTGGGCGTAAATCGAAAGGAGGCTAAGAGGGTAAGGTGGTGGAGCTTTGAGGAGGCGGGCCCAAAGGGAAGATGCTTCTAAAGTGAACGGCCAATGAGAGGGAGCTGGGTCCTTGGGAGGCGGGGTTGGAGGGAACCACGAACCCGCCCTTGGAGGAAAGATGGGGAGCCACCGCGGCGGGGTGCGTGCTGGGGGCGTCCGGCATCTGATGTAAAACTTCTTACCAGTCTCTGGTGTCGCAGACTCAGCCCCAGTGTCGTCTGCACAGCTCATGGAACTGCCCCTGGTGCGCCTGCAGCTCCTGGAAACCCTAACCCGGCGCCCCGACTGCTGCCATGGCAACGGCGTCTGGAGTCGGTCCTCCCGCGGGGGTGGAGCGGAAGTTACGTCTGGGAAAAGGGGTGGGGCCTGGAAGTGCGTCAGCCTCACCTCCTCGGTGACGGCTCGTTCGGCTGCCGCCATCTTGCGAACTTGCTGTCCCAACGCTGCGGGCAAACTCCTTTGACGCAGCACCGCTCACCTACACGGAGGCGGACTGGCAGCCCTGAGCGTCGCAGTCATGCCGGCGGGACCCGTGCAGGCGGTGCCTCCGCCGCCGCCCGTGGCCACCGAGCCCAAACAGGTACCGTGCCCCCTTTATGCTGATCGGCAGCCCGATCGTAGGCCTAGGTGCGCCTCACTTTTGCATTAAGAAGCGGCTACTAGGAGGGCTTAGAGGGACTGCAAGTCCCAGGAGGCAATGCGCTGCCTTCTGGTCGCGAGCTGAGCTCCCGGGAACGGTGGTTCTCAAAGTGTGGTGTGTTGGACCAGCAGCATCAGTATCACCTGGGAGTTTATTAGAAATGTAGAGTCTCTGTAAAGTACAGCGTAAAGGGGTACTTTACAGCGTAGGAAATAGCCAGTAATATTGCAGTAACTGTATATAGTGCCAGGTAGAAATATCGAGGCAATACTTTGTAAAGTGTGTGATTATCTAACCTCTGTGCTGTACACCTGAAACTCATACAAAATAACATCGAATGTAAACTATAATTGAAAAATAAAATTAAATGTAAAAGAAGGAATACATAGTCTCCACCCCAGATCTTCAAATAGGAGTCTCCATTTTAACAGGATCCCAAGGTGCTTCATTCAAGTTTGAGAAACATTGATCCAGCCCATATACTGGTTTTGTGTGGCAGTTGCACCCACCGATCCCCAGCCTTTGCCCAGTAATGCCTAGTTTTCCAGCCTGCAGGGTACAGCTTTGAATGTTAATTCTTCTGCATCTACTAGGTGCTTGGTCTAAGCCAGACACTGAGCCAGGCTCCCTTGTTACTGGAATGAATGATGCACAACTACTGCCTTAGTGAGCTAGCTCATAGTCTAGTAAGGAGGCAGGTATGTGTGTACATTCGACAAATGTGTGTTGCCCCATCACTCTAAATAATACAGTTCCATACAGTCCTTTAAAAAAGATCGTAATTAGCCCATGGGGGAAGACGTAAACATTTGCAGTTTGGTTTCATTTACAAAGGAAACGGTAATCTAATCAACATTGCTGGTGGAGGGGAGATTAAAGTAGGTGAAGCAAATAGGAGTGAGAGGTAAGTAGCTTTTAGAAGGTTGAATAGGAATTCCCCAGGTAGGTTATTTGGGGAAGGAAATAGTATTCTTGATTCATTCAGCCGACACTGAGCACATGTTGTAGGCTGACCACTGCTTTGGGTTCAGAATACAGTGGAGAACATGACAGAAGAGGTTCACACCCTTCCCACAATATTTAAGTATCTCTGTGCCCTGGTATTTTCCCAGCCACTGGGGAAGATAAACCAGGCGATACCAGATAATAAGTGGAAAGGCACTAAGAGAGAAATCAGACGGTGCTTCTGATCATTGGTAGATAGTGTGGCTGAAGCCTAGTTCTGGGGAGTGGTAGCAGGAGATTGGATTCTGAGGATTTGGACTTTTCCTAGTAGCCAATGGAGAGAAGAGGAAGGATATTAAGCAGGATAAAAACTGCTTGTGTTTCAGAAATTCAGGTAGATAGGCAGTGATGTGGACAATTGCTACAAGGATGGGGGATTAGTCACTGTATTCAAAAGATGTTGAGGGTCTGGCTAGATTGGGGTGCAGGGGCAGAGGGTTTAATGATAAGCTCATGTCACAAAATGGCAGATAGTACAGGGTCTCCGGCCAGCGTGGGCCAGAGTGACATGTTAGAAATTTGGTTCTGCTGCCATTTGGGCGAATTAAGCTCTCTATTCCTCAGTCTTGTCATCTGTGAAATGGGGATATTTAAAGTACTTCCCTCATAGGGCTCTGATCAAAGCTAATATATTTAAAGTGCTTAGAAAAGTATATTGCACCTACTCTGTGTTTGATAAATGTTATTGCCAATGAAGTTGGAGACTGAGGAAAGAGGAGGAGGTCCAAGTTTCTGGCCTGGTTGGCCGGTGCCTATTTGGCCGTTCATGAGCAAAGAGGTCAGAGGTGACCAAAGTGCCTAGGAATCAACTGATCTAGAGCTCCAGCACACACAGCGACCTGGGACGTCAATTTGGATGGGATTATTTAGGCCAGAGGTGCTAGAGGAAATGGAGGATGTGGTTGTGAGTGCCTGAGGACAGTGTGAACACTGAAGAGAACCAAGAACAGCATTTTGGGGATGCCCAACATTTTAGGGAAGGCAGTAAAAACCAGGAAGGAAAGTTGAATGGAATGGTGAGCAAGAAGAAAAGACAGGTGAGAATGGGGCCCGGGAGTGGAGGAGTGGAGAGTTTCGTGAAGGAGTGGTCATTGATCACACAGTCAGATAACTGCTGTACTTGGCTGTCGGCAGTTGTTTTTGACTTTGGCAAGAGGACTTGAAGTGGACCGGGACCAGATGGGATGTGAGGAACTGGGAACAGGGAGGCCAAGAGAACTCAGGATGTTTAGCTGGCGGAGAGGAAGGGAGGTGGGGGGAGAAGTCAGCAGCAGAAAACAACAGAAGGTCAAGGAAGACACTTTATTTTTCTAAGATGAGAGATTTGACCCTTTGTTTACTAAAGGAAGACTGGTGAGGAAAGAATATTAGAACTTCCGGGCAGTTGATGCTGAGTATTCCAGTGTAGTTTCACTAGGCATTTGAGCACTGAGTGGTGGTTAAGGCTATGGAATGGATGCAGAGGGAAAGGGCATTTAAGGCAGAAGGAGCTGCCCTCAAGGAGTTTTCTGTTTCTTTATTTGGCAAACTAAATATCCCACGCTGGGCACATCCCTTGGTGTGGAGGCCTTCTGATTTCAGGAACATGGTTTCTCAGACTGTGGTCAGAGATCCTCTGCATCTGAGTCTCCCAATCACTTGGTAAAAATGCATATCCCCGGCATTGCTGGCATAATCCAGCTGGTGGAGCCAGAAAAGTTGCTTTTTTATTGATTCCCCGGGAGGGGCCCTGGCAAGCACAGTGCAGTTAAGAGAACCACTCTTCTAGAGCAGAGGGCTCTACCCCGAAGGAAGTCTGTGGGGGAGAGTCCGATGCTCTCAGTAGCAGCCTAGAAGGGTTTAATCTGTGGATTTGGGGGCCCAGCCCCAAACCAGTAACTTCAACACTGTATTTTCTTTTTCTTTTTTCACAGCCCACAGAAGAAGAAGCCTCTTCAAAGGAGGATTCTACCCCTTCCAAGCCAGTGGTGGGGATTATTTACCCTCCTCCAGAGGTCAGGAATATTGTTGACAAGACTGCCAGCTTTGTGGCCAGGTAACATAGCGACTTTTGCTCATGTGACTTACGGGTGGATTTTAGCACCTAAATGCACACAGGTTAACACTGGGTTTCAAGAGGTGCTGTTAGGCTGGCACTCAAGTGGCATCAACGGTTAATGCACCTTTGAAAGCACAAGTCACCTGAGCAGTTAGTTCACCTGTCAGAGACACTGAGGCCACAGTAGAGAGGCGCTATCAGCGTAGGCCCGTTGGCTCATCTGAAATCACAGCATGGCAGTGAGGTGGGCAGTGGTCAGGACTGGCATCTGTAATGTAGCAAGGCAATGGCAGCATGTGAGTCACACCCAGCCCCAGGGTCACCAGGAACCTGTGCTTCCAAAACAGGCCTGAGGAAGTGCCTGGGAAGTGTTTGCCTGAGGAAGACAAAAAAGGGGGTTGATCATTCTCATTATATAAGGACTGCATTCCCCAGAGCCTCAGGTGACCCTCCTGCAGAGGAATAAAATGCCACCTCAGGGTTGTTGTGAGGAAGGAATGAGGAATGGGACTGAACACAGGTGTTACATCATGCAGGTGTTAGCTGTCATCTCAGATGGCTCTGAAACCAGCAGAGTTCCTCTTGTGTCCCCACCCCCATCATGCTTATACACACTCACGCATCCTTAGATGGATCTTCCTGATGGCCACTTGACTCCAGAGGTCAGCACATCCCTAGGTGAGGGTATTTAAAGTATTCCTTTGGCAGCCAGGAGGCCACATCCAGCCTACAGATCTTTTTGTTTGTCTTTGCAATATATTTTTTTAATTCGAATTAGTTGTCACTTTTTTATTTTCTTCCTTCCTTTCTTCCTTCCAAGAGGGAGAGGAAGAAAGTGAGGGAGAGAAACATCAGTGGGAACCCTCTCATGTGCCCCCACTGGGGACCAAACCCACAGACTAGACATGTGCTCTGACCAGGAATCGAACTGGCGACCTTTTGCTTTGCAGAACGATTCCCAGCCAATTAAGCCACACAGTCAAGGCAAGTTGCCAGTTTTTAAAAACGAGATTGTACAATGAAACTGGATTTGTGTCTTCTCTTGACAAACTAGACAACTGCATTCATGGTGGCAGTAGCTGGCCCTGAGCAGACCGCTGTCCTCAGGGCATTTGCTGTCCAGGGGGCCACGCCTTGACCTCTGAGGCTGCATTCCCATTGTAATACATCATTTAGTAGATGTATTCCTTTCCCAGTCTCCCAATTAATGAAATATGGAAAGAGGTTACTCTGGTTATTGCCTTTACTGTGTTAGGTGCCATGCGGCTTCGTCTCATCATTTCAAGGGCTTTGATTTACCTGGGTATTGGGTTAAAATTACTCTGCTCTTGATTGAACGTTATCAGGCCGTGCCAGATTTAGGGCAGGAGGTGCTGTATCTATGATAAATGTTTAATGTCTCGTAGCAACACTCCTGCTTCCCCTTTTCCCCTGATATTTTAAAAACAACAAATAGGAAAAGGGAGTTGGAGGAAGAACCAACACAATCTACTACCAGAATAGTTTCTGCTAGCTGTTTTCACTTTTTCCTATTTCCTTCTGGCCCTTGGCATCCTTTTTCAGATCCTTGTAACAGTAACAGAGATACTTTCACATCCTGCTTTTCCCTTTTGTGCTGTGTTGTAGGCATTTTCCCATGTTGCTTTGTGCTCTGACGCTGCACGGTCCTCTCTGGGGAGGCTGCACCGTGCTGCAGCAGCGGGCTTTCCTTGACTTGGCTGTGCCCTCTCTCTCTTC